CTCCTGCTGGTGATCGTCTGCGTGGCGCTGCTCCTGGACAACATGCTCTACATGGTGATCGTGCCCATCATCCCCCACTACTTAGCCACCCTCGACGGCGGCGGCGGCGCGCCCGCGGCGGGGCAGGGCGGGGGCACCAGCAGCGCGGCCGCGGCGGGCTGGCCCGGCAACGCCAGCAGGAGCTCCCGGGTGTTCCCGCTCGTGCCGCCCGGCAACCACGACATCAAGATCGGGGTGCTGTTCGCCTCCAAGGCCATCCTGCAGCTGCTGGTCAACCCGCTGAGCGGCACCTTCATCGACCGCATGGGCTACGTGCTGCCGCTGCTGATCGGGCTGCTGGTGATGTTCCTCTCCACCCTCATCTTCGCCTTCGCCGAGAGCTACGGCACGCTCTTCGCCGCCCGCAGCCTGCAGGGCCTGGGCTCGGCCTTCGCCGACACCTCGGGCATCGCCCTCATCGCGGACAGGCACCCCGAGGAGCAGGAGCGCAACCGCGCCCTGGGCCTGGCCCTGGCCTTCATCTCCTTCGGCAGCCTGGTGGCGCCCCCGTTCGGCGGCATCCTCTACCGGGTCGCCGGGAAGGAGTCGCCCTTCCTGGTGCTGGCCTCCATCTCCCTCCTGGATGGGCTGCTGCTGCTGGTGGTCATCAAGCCCTTTGCAGACAGTACTCGGGAGAACATGCCCGTGGGCGCCCCCATCCACCGGCTGATGATCGACCCCTACATCGCCGTGGTGGCCGGGGCCCTCACTACCTGCAACATCCCCCTGGCCTTCCTGGAGCCCACCATTGCCATCTGGATGAACAGTACTATGAACGCCAACGAGTGGCAGATGGGCCTGACGTGGCTGCCAGCCTTCTTCCCCCACGTCCTGGGCGTCTTCATCACAGTCAAGCTGGCTGACAAGTACCCCCACCTGCAGTGGTTTTACGGGGCGCTGGGCTTGGTCATCATTGGGGCCAGCTCCTGCACGGTGCCTGCTTGCCGGAACTTTGGCCAGCTCATGATCCCCTTGTGTGGCATCTGCTTCGGCATTGCCCTGGTTGACACGGCCCTGCTGCCCACCCTTGCCTTCCTGGTAGATGTGCGCCATGTGTCAGTCTATGGTAGCGTCTATGCCATTGCCGACATCTCCTACTCAGTGGCCTATGCCCTGGGGCCCATTGTGGCTGGAGAGATTGTCCACTCCTTCGGCTTTATCCAACTCAGCTTGGGCATGGGCCTTGCTAATGTCCTCTATGCCCCAGTCCTGCTAGTCCTCAAAAACATTTGCCAGATGAAGCCCTCCCACTCCGAGAGGAACATCCTTCTTGATGAGGGGCCCAAAGGACTCTATGATACCATCAAGATGGAGGAACGCAAAGGCAGGGGTAGAAATCTCCACCCTGTAGTGGATTTTGAAGGGAATAGTGTAGAAGCTTACCACAGAGACTTTAAAGGGGTTTCTGAGGATGATTCATCAGACTATGACTATACTTAGAGCCCCATAGGAAGATGGAGAGCGTCTGGGCTATTACCTTCATGCTCCGATGTGCTACACATTAACCTTTACCTAAGTGTGACAGTCTTCTTCTTCTCTCTCGCCCCTTCTCTTCCTCTCAAGTTATGACCTGAACCACCCTACTGAGATTAAAGTTCCAAATAACTGCATAGCGTATTTGTATAGACGTTTTGGTCCTTTCTCGTTAACAGAAGCGAGGTATGCCCCCCCGATGCTTTCGAATGAGCGGTTCTGCCAAGAGGTCTGGGGGGAGCAATGTTGTGTGTGACTTAAGACTGGTTCACACATGCATGTAGGTATCCCTTGATTTGGTTTGGTTTTCCATTTCATTTCATTTTGGTTTGTTCGTTTTCATGCCCAGTAACGCTATGCTTTGAAGGGAGCCTCCATTGGCATGCATTATCTATACTTGATTAAAATATACCGAAGTAGTAACTCATGAGGCGTATGTGTCCTGTCCCCTTTGTTCGCTGTGCATGTATGAGGTGATCTGAATGTCTTGTCTGTGACATTTGGTTTGGGCGTGTTGTCACTAGAGATACTGCAGTTATGCATGTGTGAACCAGCTTCTCCTCTACAAGATGCTTCAAGAGATACATCCAGGGACTCCATAAATATTGTACATTTATAGACAGGTCTCTACCTGGAAATTTTCCATCCGGTTCTTGTTTTAAGGCCAGCAATGGAAATCACGTTATGTTATGTCTCCTCTGGAGAAAAACGAGACACAATGGTAACCTCTTTTTATTGATTTATTTGTTCATTTATTTATTTATTTCCTGTTGTGCTGCTATTCTGGTAAATGAAATATGCCATACCATGTTCTAGACTGAACCTGTTACATTAATATGGGTGTGAATAAATTATGTTCCAAGGAATGTTTGTCTTGGTTTTATTGTTTGCATGTTAAGGTTAAGGGTGTAGTCCTAAATACACAAACTAAATATTCAGACTAAAACCAAATCTGGGTGTTTACCCAGAAGTCATTCTTATACTATGTACCCCAAGCTTACATCCATGTACGACTGTATTAGATCAACAATTTTAATTTGCTCTGAACGTAATGCTTGAGTACAAATCTATAAGTTTGAGTTGCAAATAATAGTCAAGTAGATTCTTAGCACCTTTATTTCCATTCATTTAGAGAGGACCCAGCATTGTAGGATATCTAACTAGTTAAAGGGATTATTTTTGAAACAGCAGATAGAATAACTTAATCCTTCCCAGAAAAAGCTACAAAAGGGGCACACGCCCAGTAAAAGGTAAGTGTTTTTTAAGTCCACTGTTAATAATAAACAAGTGTCAAGGGTCTAAATATTTCTGGATGAACTCTGCCTAGTAATGTTTCCTCGGAAGTAAAATATTCTTACAAATATTTGAATTGAGTTGACTCACCCTGGCTTAGTTTTTAGTTTGGTTTGGCAGGATTCCCTGTTAAGATCAGTTTTATTTGTTTACTTCAATCATGAATGGAAGGCAGCAGAATTTTTCAGAAACTGTTTCCAGCTAATTGATCACTGCCCAGGCCATTAAGACAAATACATCATTACCCCCGCATCAGCAGGAATGGAGAAAAAGCTAAGCTGTGTGCAGAATGCAGGTCTGTAATTTCTCCCGTTTATTTCCCCGGAGTTAGACCACAGCTGATTGGATGTAATCCCAGAGAGAAAGGAAGGGAAGGAAATAAACTCTTCTGAACTTAGCTTTAGTTACTTCCGAGTAACTTTGTGTAGGACTCTTGCTGCACGGTAAGCATTTTGGAGTCAACCCCTTTAGGATCCGGCTGCGTGTCTCCTACGCTATTCTATTCGTGTGAGATGACCCGGAAACTGTCCTCTGAGTCCACTGGGGATTATTCCCAGGCTAACGAGAGCTCCGCTCTCTATTTTCTTCCCAAAGCCAGCTCCTCCGAGCAATCTGGTCAATTTCACTGGGCGTCGTGTCAATTTCATGCTGCTTCCCGACGGCCGGGCAAAAACGCCTCGCCTCCTCTCCCGCGCTCACTTTCGCTCACACCATCCCTGTTCCACTACTGAGGCTGCGTGGCTATGCTCCCGGTTCGCCTGCATGCGACTCAAGCAAGTTTGGGGACCTCAGTTCCCATCAGCCCGAGGCAGTGGATGATAGGAGCTGTAATCCAAGACTTTCGAAGCTCCCCACAGTTGTCTATCCCTGGCCGGAGGAAAGGAATCAATGGACCGTTTCCAAACCATTCCGTGGTTTCCTTTCCCTCCTCCGTTTTCCCGTCCTCCGTTTCACGCCGAAGGTAGTCGGGCGTCGCGGGGCAGAGAAGAGGGAAGAGACGCTCCGCAGGAGCCGCCAGAGCGTGCAAGGCCGCCCAGCTGTCCTCTGCTGCTCGCAGGGCCTCAGCCCGGCCTCCCCCGGTGGGGCTGTGCGTGGCTGAGGACCGCCCGCATTTCTGGATACTGTCTTCGCCCGCTTCGATTTCAGGGCATCGCAAGCTCCCTTTTCCCCCGCAGCCTGGCTAGGTCTTCTCGGAAGCAAAGCCAGTCGATGGAATCCGCGAAATCCCCGAAAAGAATCCCGGATTCCCCCGCTGGTAACTAATCTGTGCGTGTGAATGGGCGCCTAAGGCAGACATCTGGGGGGCGAAAGTCACCGAGAACAGAAGAGAAGAGACTCAGTCGAATTCATTCCCCGGCATTTCGTCCCAACAGAACAGGCCTGACTGCAGACCGCCTTCCTACCCTCAGGGTCGATTTCGTTTACAGCCCCCACTCCCCCAGCCCGGGAAACTAAAGACTTCGTTTCCGATCCCACCCCGTCCCTCCCTGAGTTCTCCAACCGGTCTCCCCGCGATGCCGGCGGGTCTTCCTAGACCTGCGGGCTGCATAGGATACTTCGCTTTGGTGTTTTGTTCTGTTTTGTTTTTAAATCGAATTCGACATTAATTCGACCGCTGACCAGTTGCAGCAGACCTCGAAAAGAAGAGGAGCCAGTTTCCTTCTGATTCTTCCTCCCAAAAAAGGAGGGAGGGAGGGAGGCGTATTGGAAAGGGAAAAGAAAGAGTGAGAGGGAAGGAAAGAGGGAAGGTGGGTGAAAGGAAGGGAAAGGAAGAGGGAGGAAAAGATAGCAAGAAAGAAAACTAAGTTTATTCTTCATTATTTTAATTTCCACCTCAACACGCGCTCTGTGTGCATCCACCCTCATTCAGAAGTAAGTCCTGCGCTGTCCAGCGAGACTTGCTTTGGAGCAAAGCTGCCAGCCAAGGATCGCGCCTGGGGGAGGCGGGCTCTCTCTTCCCGCTGCTGCCCCAAGAGATCCGACCGCCCGGCTGACCTCGCAAACGCCTTTCCTACCTCCCTTCCCTTGTCCCGGACACCACTGTAAATGGCAGCACTCTTCTTCATCGACCAGGTGAGAGCGAGCCGGTTTGGGCCGCAAGAATCCTGGCGGCCAGGAGATGGCGGCAAAGAATGCAGGCCCTGCTCGTTCGGGGCTGCCCTTTCGCGGTCCTCAAGCCGGGTCGGAGAGATGAGTTGGAGGAATGTGATGGCGGAGGCTGCCACCTTGAAATTCACCTGGGCGTCAGTCAAGAGGGCTTTGTTTCTTACGGACCAGAGGCTTCTTAGTTCGACACCCAGGTCCCGAAAAGGCCTGCCTGGAAATCGTGGATTTCAGATTGAAAAACTATTCGTGCATGAGAAAAATCAGGAGGAGACTGGTAGCACCTTTTCAGACTAACAAAATTCCTCCCAACCTGACGCCCGCGCCTGGCGCAGGAGCACAGCTTTAATTCTGCAAAACTAAACTTCCCGCTGCATGAAACGCACCCCCACTTGCGGGACTTTTGACTCCCGCGGCTGGAGCAGAGAACAAACAGCTTGACGCTGTCGAGAATCGCTGTTCCCAGAGTCAGCAAAAATTCTCCCAGTCTTTTAAAAGCCGTCCTTCTGAACGCCCTAGTATAACAGGGCAAAGACCGACTTCCTTCCTTCCTTCCTTCCTTCCTTCCTTCCTTCCTTCCTTCCACTCCTCCTCCGAACAGGTCATGTTTTCTTATCTTCTTAAAACACTGCTGGATCAGGGATGAATTTGGACTTGAAGATTCAGTTGCTGTATTCACACAACCCCTTCACCAGGTCATTTATGAACCCAAGAGCTTGGGCCTCATTCACACGACCAGCTAAGCTTAGTTAGTCTGGTACTCAGCATGCAGGTGAGCTGGTTGTGGGAAGGGTTCTTTCCCCTTCTTTCCCCTCCCCTCCCCTCCCCTCCCCTCCCCAGCGGTTCCTTAGAGAATCCTGGACTTTTTACAAGAGTGAATAACAACCTTTGCAAATGAACATTGTCTCTGTGATGAAACACGCACGTAAACACATTGGCCCTTTGCATCAGAACATGGTGGCGACTCCAGTGGCCTTTCTCAACCCCTTTCCAAGTCAGAATTTAAACCATCTTCTGCGTATCCCTCCTGAATTCCTTGGTGTAACCCCACAAAGTCTCAGCCAGCCAAAAGAAGAAAGTGGGGAGCTTTATTCCCCCCTCTTTTGGGAAGGGAGCTCAAGTGTGGGCTAGAGGCATGTCTTTGGGGTGTGGGAAGGTGGGGTCAGCCTCTCCCTTGCAGCACTGGATGCGGGGAAGGAAACAGCCCCGCCATTGGTCTGGAAGAGGTTGGCTCCCAACGCAGTAGAGCAATGAGTCATTTGGTTAGCCAGGCAGTAATGGAGGCTGGGTGGAGGGGCCAATCCGGACAATTCAGTTAATGATGGCCGCTCTCTTGACTGACCCAAGCAAAGGCTGGCAGGCACATTAGAACACCAGTGGGCATAGGCTCCACATTGGCATAGACCACCCGGAGCTTTGAAATTTAGGTATGGCATGGGAAGACAGAACGGTTGAGGAGGAAAAGGGGGGAGGTTTGGTGTCAATCTGAATGGACTACTCCAGCCTTCCCCCAGCTGGTTTCCTCCCCTTCAGATGACTTAGGCTGTAACCTCCAAATGGTGCCGGTGGGAGTTGTAGTCCACCCACACGTGTGGAGGGCACCACGTTGGAGAAGGCTGACCTGCAGTCTCCTTCTCCGGCACCGCCAAATGCACAGCATACTTAAGGCTGCCAACCGGAGCCTCCCTTACTGTGGAGTAACTGCCAGGGACATGAGGGGGACTTGCTTCCGAGTAGCCCAAGGATAGGCTTGCTTCGCATCGCAGTCTTCGGTTCTCCCAGCTTTCTTCCGCGAGCCACGCGGGAGCTCTGCTTTGTGGGCGAGTCGCGATCCCTGCGGTCGTTTGAATTAACTGAAGCCGCCGCGCAAAAAGAGCGATGCAGGGGCGGCGTGCCCCTCCCTTGGCCGAGGCAGAGCCCCTTCTCCCAGCCTGCCTGGCCAAGAAGTTTGTGGAGCTCGAAAGTCGGCGCTGCGCTCTGGCGCGGTGAGGGACTGGCCCGAAGACGGCGAGGCGCGCAGCCGCCGGCCTCGCCCAGCGAAAGGGCGCCGCGTCTCTGCCTGGGCTCCCCGTGCCCGTCGGCTCACCTGCTTTGCATCCTCGCCCATCCCAGGCTCGCGAAGAGGAAGGGAGAGCAGCGGCTTTGCAGCCCGCCAGGAAGAAGGGATCCGATCGAGGGGACGGAGGAGGCGGGTGAACTCCGCGGAGGCACCATGGACAGCGCCGCCCGAGGCATCCCGCGCCCGGCCGCTTGAGCGCCCGAGCGCCGCTTCCACCGGCAGCCGTCGGGCTCGCGAAAGACCCTTCCCCTCTCCGCCAGCCCTACGGATGCGCCAGCCTCCAGGTAAGGGAGCCGGGGGGCCGGCCTGCAGGCCAAGAGCCCCTTTCGGGCGACACGCGTCCCGGGAAAGAGCCGGCAGCCCCATTCGCACGACCTGCGGAGCGGAGCGGGTTGCGGTGGCGCTTTGCGC